GAAAAAGACCCAGTGGACCTTTTTCTCGATTTTTTCAGTTTCTACCCCATTTTGGGTAGGCCAAGATATTTTCCCATGCAACGGTGCATTTTCAGCCTTGGATTTGGCTGAGATCCAAGGCCAACAATATTCCGTGCCACCCCTAAGTAGCCCTTGCTTCAAATTTGAGCCCCTAAGTCCAATTTTTTAATTTTTGGTGCATCTAGCTCTCTTTTTGGGTCAAATGCACAATTTTGTCTTTTTCCCTCTTTTGTTTCTTTGCATTTTGGGCTGCTACCTCATTACGGAGCTAGCCGTTTTGAGCTGGCCCACAAAAAACGGCTAGTTCCTCTCCACCATGAGATCTGATCTTAGATCCATGGTCCAAAAGAAAACCGGTCATTTCTCTTTTGCATTTTCTCTCATTTTGTTCTTTTTAATTCAGATTTTGTTGAGATATGGCCCCAGGGGCCATATCACTGTAATCCGGATTGCCCTCCCTCATTCTAGGAGGGATGAGCTCACAGTTGGGACCTGCCAGTCCCTATTGTGCAGGTCCCAATAGGCCGACACACTCTCCTCCACTTTTTTTTCCCTTTTTGATTCATTTCCCCCCCATTTTCTCTCATTTTTCTTCCTTTTTCGTTTATTTTGTTGTGACAAGTGTCCACTAGCTGTGCACTCTCTTTCTAGGCCTTGGAGCCTCATTCATGGTCAGATTCATGGCTGGCATTTGGCCGTTATATCTCGGACTTTCAACAATGGCACCCCCATACTCCTAGAGGGCTCTATTTTGTCTCTGTTGTCCAATTTTGAACCCCTTTTGCTCCGATTTTCTAAGGACAGCCTTTTTCCCATGTTGAGTCTCTTGAGGCTATATTTTCTTATGCCTAGCTAGTCTGAGATATCTCGGACTGCTGGGCAGCCCTCCCAACACCATTATTTGATTCTCTTTTCCCTCACGACTCTCCCACTTGTCCCCACTAGTGCTTGCACTAGTGGTGCTAATATTTTCCATCGTCTAGATCCTCGATCTCGACGGTGCCGTTCGCTTGCGCAATTATTTCTTGTTTTGGCCCATGGTTCCCTTGGGACATCTCAAGTCACCGCCATTTTCCTCTATACTAGTTCCATTTTCTTGTCCCGCCGGTAGCCCGCCGACGCGTGTCCTGTTTTTCGACTTTTATGATTTGGCCCCACTTGGTCCCCAACAACATCCCAGTTGGTGTCTCATTTTTATTTTTGGACTTCCTTGCCCTTTGTGGTCCCAACGTCTCTCCCTTAGTAGCCACATGTGTGCCGATTTTTCTAGGTCGTGAGATCTCACGGTTGCCGATTATCGTCTCCACTTGCCTCATGCCGAAATTGCTTCTTTCTAGCCTTTCGGGCTTGTCGCGGCTCATTTTCCCTTAGCCTAGGTACCCCCATGTAGTCCGTTATTTCTCGGACTGCAGTCATGGTCATTTTCCTAGTCCCACAGCCCCACAACTTGCCCCATGCTAACAAAAAATGAAGCGTTTAATTTCTAAGTGCATCCGGGCTCAATATTGGCTCCGGATGCACCTAAAACATGTGTTTTCCCTTCCCTATGCAATCCGTTGCAACTCGAATTGCAATAGGGGTTCATTTCCTAGCCCCAATGCCCCACAACTAGCCCTTACTATAAAAAAAAAGAAACGGCCAACTCCCAAGTGCATCCAGACTCAATTGTGGTTCTGGATGCACAAAAAACATGTGTTCCTCTTCCCCCATGTAATCCATTATTTTTCGGTTGCATGAGGCTTTGATTTTCTTTGATTTTCTCTGCAAAAATCAAAGAAAATCAAAGTCCATTGCAACCGTCATATTCCAGAATGAATCTGGTCACGGATGTATCTCCCCAAGTGACCGTTTTTTACTGTTAAGGTTTTTTTCTCTTTTCTTTTCTTTTCTCTTTTCTCTTCTTTTCTTTTCCTCCTTTCGTGGATAGTATGGACCTGCCAGTCCCTACTTGTGGCAGTCCCTACTGACGGCCAACTCACTCACTCCCTCTCACTTTTTTTTTCTCATTCTCCCACATTTTCTTTTCTTTTCTTTCTTTTTCCTAGCATGCCAAATGTCAAGTGGCCGTTAAGGCCCGTTTCTAGCCCCTTCGTCTTAGTTTTGGCCCTTCCTATGCCCAAGGTGCAGTCCGTTATATCTCGGACTGCAATAGTTGCCTTCCCATGCTCATGAGAGCTTCCTTTTCCCTCTATTTTCCTCCCGCAGTGGCCTCTCTTGCTCCGATTTTCTCCCGAAGGCCGATTTCTCTTATGGGGTCTCTTTTGACTCCATTTCCTTGAGGGAGGCTGATCCGAGATTTTTCGGATTGCTCCCATGCCTCCCACTCCATGTTTTTTTGCTTTTTTCTTTTCCTTTTGGCCTTCCCGCTTGCCACTGCTAGTGCTTGCACTAGCGGTGCTAATATTTTTGGTCGTCAAGATCTCGATCTTGACGGTGCACCTTGTCTTTATTATTTTTCCCTCATGCGGTATTTCCTCTTGAGGCTTTCACATATCCCCGCCATTCGTCCCGTCGGTGGTCCTCGACACTTAGTCCCGCCGGTGGTCCCCAACACTTAGTCCCTCCGGTGGTTCCCGACACCTAGTCCCGCCGGCGGTCCTCGACACATTTTGTCCCGGATGCCATTATTTTTACTTAGTTTCACGTGGCCTCGGGTGCCTTTCCCCAAGGTGTCCCACGTTCCTTGGGCATTTTGCCGCTCCTCGGTGACCCCTCTCCCTTGTCTTTCTTGCGCCTTGCGAGCGCCGGTTCCTTTGGTCGTTGGGCCTCCACCCCAAGGCTCCCGTAGGTGGCCCCCATGTTGGGCCCTTATTCTCTAGCTTCCCACGGCCTTCGGGGCCGTCTATCTCTTGACTCCTTCATTCTCTTGTCACTGTCGTGCCGCGTTTGCTGGTTCAAGGGCCCCTTGGCCTTAGTCTTGTTGAATTCCAACAGCCCTCCTGGCCTCATGCTATGTTCTATGCGCCCCCTGATCTTGCGCTCACTTGCTTGCCATCGCTGGTTCTTTCCTCCTGCGGTTCTCACCCCAGGGCATCACTCCCTCCTGCGGCCTAATCCTTTATCTTTTCTCTCTCTTTCCTCCTTACTCCAGATTTCTCTGTCGTACACAATTTGTCTATATTCAGTCTCTCGAGTGATGGGAAGTTTTTCGGGACCCACCACTCCCGACAATGTCATCCAGTACCACTTGCATGACAACACTGTCCCGGTGGTCGAGCGCTTGCAGATGGTCATGTCCGACATGGGTCGTTCGAGCAGTCGGGTTGCACAGGCTGGCGCCCGCACATTCACAGTCCCTCAGACCTGCCGCATGATTTTGTCCCTCCTCGCGGAGCTCTATCCCCTAAGGAGCGCGCCGCCCTCGATGCCCGTCGCGGTCCTTTGTTGCCACCAAGATGGACACACCTCCTCACAGTGTCCATACCATGCCGCCCTTGATCGACACTATGCTGACATTTCTCATCAACTCCGATCTTAGTTTCCTCTGCCTCGCCGTCTGTCGAGGTACCGTCTGCCTCCCGCAGACCGCCGCATCTAGTCCTTTCCCCCCAAGACTTTCGACGCTTCGCGCCATTCGCAGAGCTCGTTGTAGCTCTAAGTTGGCGAATCGCGATAACATTGTGTTATCTCTTCCTAATTTGAGAATTCTTCAGGCTTGCCAGGAGCGACTCACGAGACACGTAAACGTCCTGCGCCGTCTTTTCGCTCTGCTCTCTGACTTCGATCGCACCCTCCCCATCATTCCTATCTGCTTGGGGACATCTATGCGAGTGTACAACACTTTATAAGACTTCGGCTCGCAGAGAGATTTCGTTCACCCTCACATGGTTAAGGAAGCTCGTCTAGCTACCTCGAGGTCTCGCTCTCCTGTCTTCGTTACCCTTGGAGATAACAAAACGCGACACTTCTTCGATCAGACGGTCCCCGACCTCCACTATTCCCTCACCCTTTAGCCATCGGATAGTACTCAGGTGCCTCAACGCTACCATTCCTCCACATACTTCGACGTGTTGGAGACTAGGTACGACTTTACCCTTCGCAGTCCCTGGTCTCGCCAGTTCCGTGGCACGAAGGCCGAATGGGCGACCGAGACAATTGTTCTCAAAACGAAGTGTGGTCAGACTCATCGAGTCCCCTTCATTGGAACCACGGGCGACACCCCTCCCGACCTACCTCCCAGGACCCTCATTCCTCTGGGTCCCACCCAGACATCACCTTCACTTATCCTCACCAGTTTGCTCACTTCATACGACAGGAGGACGCCACGTTTACTCAGTGAATGTCATGGATCTTCTTCGCTATGATCCACTTTGTCCCGAGGTTGAACTCATCTCATTAAAGCTCGATCCCCCTGACCCTTCCTCCATCGTGATGGATCCCATCTCTATATCCACCCTCCAACCTATGGATACCCCCTCGACATCCCAGGTCCCGACGCCGTCCACTGCCGAGTCCAGCTATACGTCTCGTGTTGGCGCAGACGTTGAGAAACTCACGTGGTTCACGACCAACTTAGAGCCCACCATTCGCGATCTGATTCGAAAGTACCGCGGCGTTTTCCCCGCGTATTTCTCATACAGCGGGATCCCTCCGATGCGCGGTGTTGAGCATTCAATCCAGCTCGTGCCTGACTATCGTGCCTACCATCAGGCACCCTACTGACTCTCGATTCCAGAGGCGATGGAACTCAAGTGTCAACTTGAGGAGCTCCTTAGACTTGGTTTCATTAAACCGAGTAACTCCCATTGGGGTGCACCTGTCCTCTTTGCTCGCAAAGCGGACGAAACTCTTCACCTCTGCAATGACTGCCGCGGCCTTAACCATTACATAGTTAAGAACAACTATCTCGTGCCTCGTGCTGATGAGCTATTTAACCCACATCTATCAAGCAGCTTCGAAGTTTCCTAGGCCTCATTAGTTACTATAGTAATTTCATCTGGGGATACGCTATGTATTCCTACGTCCTTACCTCCTTCCTGCTCTGGAAGAACCCGCCGTGTTCTTTTTTCATACGAAGCGAACCGGCGCTTTATATGGTGAGCTACTAGGGCGGATTCAACCCTTGTCCAACAAGTCGTCGAGTTGTGCACGGAGGACCGTGAGCTCCTCCTCGCTCATGTGATAGATGCAACCTTTCGGCGGTGCAGCGCCGGCCTCAAGAATGGTCTCGTGAGAGATCGGTCGGTCCGCATGAGGTGCAAAATATACCGGGACGGCCTCGATGTAGCGGTCGATGAGTTGTTGCGTTCTTCCATCTGCCAAGTTAATCACCGTCGGGTTTGCCTTTCTCCGAACTTGTGCGCCAAGGCCAGCTCTTTGCATAAAGGTTTGGCTCATGAAATTGCGAGTCGCGCCACTATCCAGCAAAGCGCTGCAAGACGCTTGCCCAACTTGGATGTGGACATAGAGGAGCGGTGCGTTATTGTTGTCGTACCGCTGCGTGCGAAACTCGCGGGCCATCTTGGTAACATACACAAGGATGTCCCCCACCGCAGCTTTGTCATCCGTCAGCGAAGTTGGTGGTGCATAGAAGGATGAGTACATGCGAAGATGAGCGCATAGAGCTGCGCATTGCGGTCCCGGCAAGCGGCCCATGGTCGGGAGAGGAAGCCATGCGAAATCCTCGGACGTGAGCGGGTTCAGTACCTCTATGTTGAACTCGCGCGCCGAATCCTGTGAAAAACCACTTGAAGACGATAAGTCGCCGATGTCGGACAGAGAAGATACTGCACACGTCTTGTCCTTGAGCATGAGTACCCAGTGTAGGAACGAGTCAGGCAGCATAGTCCTCAAAAGAATATAAGATGGGAGGACAATTGACTTCCCCATGTGACTGGGAACGAAGGGTGGTCACACGCGGTTCAACCGGTTCCGAAGGCGTAGAGAGTGTTGTCGATACACTCTCAGCGGTGCTCACTTTCCCAACTGTTTGCCCTTACCTTTCAAAGGACAACCCACTGTGTCTTGGAGATCACTAGTGCACCACAAACAGTACCGGAATCTCGTGCGTATCTTGTATACGTTCTCCGAGAGACCATAGTGGGTCCATGGGTCTTGAGCTGCTGCATCTGGCCCAGGGTTTGACGTGGTGTTGGTCTTCGATTTGTCGCGTCCGCCGGCTTTGCTGGGGCGGCCACCATCCCGGGCGGCTGCGAGTCTGTCCTCCTCATTGGGAGATGCAGCCTCGCTTGAAGGGTCAATCCGCGTTGTCACCTTGACCACAACCACTTTTGGCTGATGTTGTTCTCTGCTCGGGCCTGCCGCAAACGAACTGTTGAGGTTCTTAGCCTCCGTGTTCGTGACGATGATCTGCGCGGCCTGGTCGAAGAGCTCCGCAATTGTAGTGAGAGTGTTTGCGACTTGAGTCAACGCGTTGGACAATGTCGGACACGACCTCGAGATGAAGTAGTGTTTGACGGCCTGAGAGCCCATCGGTACACTCGGCGTGGATGCCAAGCGTTGGAACTCGGAAATCCAATCCCCACTCAGCAACATGCTCTGGTAGAACTTGATCAACTTGTCCATTGCTTGAAGTTCCAGTGACTCTATTTGGAACTGCTTATGCCACGCCGCCTTCAGATCGGCCCAACTAATCTTGGCATGTAGCTCGGAAGCCACCACCTCATGCGTGGACAAGAGATTGTCCAGCCAAGCTTGGCACGCGCCCCCCGACTGGGAGTACAAATACACGTGTTTCTTGTCTTCGCTGGTGTGTTGGAGCTCTAACTTAAGCTCGAACTAGCACAACCAATTGGGTACGTCTTCGTAGAGTCGCAAAAGATCTCTTGTCCACCGACTTCAGAATTGTCTTGCGTGGAGACGTGCTCGGGCGAACGGCGACAACACATATCTGGTGCTCAAGTTGTTGAGTGGCCGCTTGTTGTGCCCGTGCACTGTCCGTGAGCGTTCTGACGTTGATCTCCAAGGCTCCAGGCGATCTGCGGTGTTGGAGGAGCTGGCGACGGGGGCGGCGACGGGTCGTTGCCCCAGCTACGTTAGGCGGCTGTTGACTCGCTTGACCTCATTGTCGAGGCTATGGATGTCCTCCAGTTGTGCAATGCATGTTGCCAGGAGGTCCGTGAGGTGGGAAAGCAATAGCGAGATCCTGAGTCTGTTGTCGTTAAGTTCGCCACCTTCGGCCTCGGTCCGCCTTTCTATTGCCATGGTGAGTAAGGCTCTCTCCTCCCCAAATACCTTTTCGCGTCGCATGCTGCGTTCTTCGTCGGCAACCTTTGCTGCTGCCTTGTCGTCATGGCGTTGTTGTTCCACCACCAATAGACGTGCTTTCTCTGCATCCTCTGCCTTCTTCTTCTCTGTGACTACTACCGCATCCGACCATTGCTTAGCTTCGGTAACCAAAACCAGCATCCGACCATTGCTTAGCTTCGGTAACCAAAACCAGCATCCGGGCCTGATAGGCCTCGGCTGTTTCCCCTGGCTTCTGGTCCATGACAGTTGTTTGAGAGCACGTGAGCATAGACCGAGCTAGGGGACTACAAGTGTGACACTCTCTGCTACTGTCGTAGCGCTGTAGGGTTACTGACGTGGCACGACTGTCAGTTGACGTGTTGCAGACGTGTCACTGTTGACGTCGCCTGCTGACGTGACCTGCGAAACTGACCTGCTGATGTGGCAACTCACCAATGCCGAAGTAGGGAGTACCCTGAGACCGATGAGAAGGGAAGAAGGGTGCAACAACATAGGTGCGGGTGGGTGGGATTGATCGCCTAGATAAGGAGCCACTAAACAAAAAGAGAAAAGTTTGAACTTTGCAAAAAAAAAATTCGAGGAATTAATAATTAAAAAAAACTCGATTTTGCAAGTTCAGTAGGTCTCCCTATTCCCCGAAATTCGAAATAAGTAATAATAAAAAAATTCAAATTTTCAAACTGCAAATGAATAATAATAATGATAATAATAATCCTAACCCTTAAGCAGAATTGGCCGTGGGGGGAGGGCGGTGTTCCGCTGCGCGCCGGAATCGGGTTGAAGTTTTGATGGGGGCCGACGGATGAAGGCGATCGAGGGAGGGGGGGCGTGCAGAGCGGCGCGTGTACCGAATTGTTCACAGCGCGCCATAAAACGAGAGAGCGAGCACACGATGCCCAACGGGGGTGGGCGTTGATGCGAGGGAAGATCTGGAAGCGCCCGCCCCCGGGCCACCCTTTTTTTTAATTCTTTCTGTTTTCTTTTTTCTTCCTTCTTTTCTTTCTTTTTTTTGTTTGTCTAATTATTTCGGGTGGGAAAACGGGGAAAAAAAAAAGTCGGAGGGCCCGCCTGCCCACCCACACACAAGCACACACCCGTCCGCCCGGCCACGCCACGCACACTCACAGACACGCACGCACGCACACAGACATGCACGCATCCACACACACACACACACACACACACACACACACACACACACACACATACACACACTAATACATATATGTTAGTATTAGTGTTTGAAGCTTCCTCACAGTGGTTGTGGTCTGGTCAGGGTTTGAACGCACACACAAATTTTGAAATACTCAATTGCCCAATGAGATAACCATTCAAGTGGATTGAGTCCCTGTCTGCTTTTGGGGACTTCTTTCTTTTGAAGTGTATCCGACGTCAGGCTGCTGGCACGCCAGGATGTGCCTATATGTCCGAACCCTAACGTTGCACAGTGTGGCAGGCGGGTCCAGTCCTGCAATTTTCAAGCGCCAACTATGGCGATTTTTCATGCTCAGAGTAATAAATCAAAAGATCTGAAATTTTAAGACCCTGTAGATTAGATTCTGCTCTTTCTAGAAAAAAATATTAGGAAAAAAAAAAAAAAAAAAAAACCGTGAAATATATGCCGCGCCGATTCGTTGTGTTTTCGTTTTTTACCCCCCTACGACGTGTGGGCCAACGGAGAAAGTACCCCAACTTCCGCGATTTTTAGCGCTCAGAAAAATGACTCAAATCCGCTGAAAATTTAAGGGTCTGCAGGTTTGGTCTTGATCTTTCCACGAAAAATGCTTTTAAAAAAAAACAAAAATGCTTAAATCGAGAAAACAAAAAAACGTTCAAACTGCTAAATAAATGCCAACCCAGCCACTCCAAGCACCTACTGACCCAGCCACTCCAAGCACCTACCGACCCAGCAACCCCAAGCACCTATACCGACCAAGCCACTCCAACCACCTACGGACTGAACCACTCCAAGCACCTATACGGACCAAGCCAGTCGAAGCACCTACCGACCGAGCCATGCCAAGCACCTATACCGACTGAGCCAGTCCAAGCACTTACCGACCGAGCCAGTCCAAGGACCTACTGACCGAGCCTGTCGGAGCACCTATACCGACCAAGCCACTCCAACCACCTACCGACCGAACCACTCCAAGCACCTATACGGACCAAGCCAGTCCAAGCACCTACTGACCGAGCCATGCCAAGCACCTATACCGACCGAGCCAGTCCAAGCACTTACCGACCGAGCCTGTCCAAGGACCTACCGACCGAGCCTGTCGGAGCACCTACCGACTGAGCCAGTCCAAGCACCTACCGACCGAGCCAGTCCAAACACCTACAGACTTAGCCAGTCCAAGGACCCACCGACCGAGCCAGTCCAAGCACCTACCGATCGAGCCAGTCCAAGCACCTACCGACCGAGCCAGTCCAAACACCTA